GCAAAATAAAAAGCCATCAAATCAATCATCCATTAGTACTTCCAATTTGCATCGAAAATAAGGCGAGCTCCGCTTACTGCTCACTTCATAACATTTATAGTAATATGAATCATATTTTAACCCATTGCGGACCGCCGTTATAATTGCACCTCCGTAGGTTTTTGTCATCTCTTTTATCAGTGGCCAATAATCTATCGAAAATTTAACCAGTACGCAAATAAGTGATATATCCTGTGTCTGAAAAAGTAAACTGCTGATTTTGTAACTTAGCAAAATGCTGAAAAAATCGAAGATTACTATCCTTCTCCGCGTGGTGGCGTGCTGCACATGGTGCAGCACGCGGTCCGCAATGGGTTAAGGAATGTATGATTCATATTACTATAAATGTTATGAAGTTAGCAGTAAGCGGAGCTCGCCTTATTTTCGATGCAAATTGGAAGTACTGAATGGTGATCGATTTGATCTCTTTTTATTTTGCAGGTTATTGCACGGAATTTATCTCCAAAACGTCCAATGATTCGCACACCAGTTCGACCTATTAGGAATCCTCCACTGACAGCTGCGACGAATCCTACTCAAGTAGGTCTTATAACATTGATATGATTTTTATCCATTATTCGAAAATTTTCAGGGGTCATCTCACATTCTTAAATAACACTCAAAAACCTGAACACTTATGAAAATCTCGTGTGTAATTACTAAGTACATCATTTTAGGTTGCAAAACAAAGCAAAGCTGAGGCTTTGCGTCGTGAAAAGGAAGAGCTTGCTGCGCAATTGCGAGAAGAACAGTGTAAAGAGAGAGCGGAACGTATTCGTAAAGAACGCGAAGAGAAAGCATTGAGGGTAAAATTCAGTTTTCTACGATGCCACTTTCTTGATCATTACGTTTATATTGCGCTGGGCGATGGTGCCCCTAGTAGACAGCTGGAAGTCATGAACGCTCTTTGAAAAGAGTTGTGTGACTATTGCTTATTTATTTATTTGTTTGTTTATTTATTATATACACGAGTGAGTTCCACAGTTGTTGAACCAGATCAAAGGCAGAAACAAAGAAAGGTAAATGAAAAGCAAAAGGCCAATCCGAAGAGGACCGTCCGCAGCATCAGCCAAGTAAGCAACACAAATATTCAGTTCGTGTAGAATATACCACATTGTAAATCGATTTGCAGTATGGCTTAAAAGTTAGAACTCTTTGGCTCGTTTTTCGTAAGGTTGGACAGTTCCCTTCCCACACCTTTGTAACCTTTTATGGGCAAGAAGAAGTTGCAGGGAAGTTAAAAAGATTTGAAAGAAACACAAGAGGGGTGAATACAGTGAAAGTTCTAAAGTAAATGGCAATAAATTATCGTTATTGCATTAACTCGCGACATCACATAGTGTGAAAGGGCAAGGCAGGTCTTCAAAAACTTAACACTATTCAGATTTCATTCCAATTATTCCTCATGAAAGGTGTGTTTTG